TTATATTTCTTCTTTTCTTTTATTTTATTTTCCTTTAAATAAAAAGATCTTCCACTCGACACTCATCACTTTAAAATATGCTACAGCTTGATAGTTTTTAGTAAATTTTATTACAATATAATAGATATAAAAGATATAATAAAAATGATAGATATAATAGATATATAATATCTGTTAGATATGTTAGATATGTTAGATATGTTAGATCTAATAGATCTGTTAGATTTGTTAGATTTCCGGCACAGTAATTTGAGCCAATCAGAATCAAGTCACATGTATTATAATTAGTACTTTTTATCAAAATTGTCCCAATCTTATTATCCCATAATCAGAATTACATAATCTTGTGCTCGTTAGAATCGTCTTGGTGAGCTGAATCCAATGGTGGTTATTTCATTCGAATTGGTTTGGTATATCAAAAGTTATGGTCAAAAATGTGTAAAATTCTTAATGTTAACAATACTTATTATATGAGTCTTAACCTTTATTTAAATATTTCTTTTTACAACTATCAAGACATATCTATTATCTATCTATACCTATTCTTTCTAAATTCTCCTTAACAAATAACAATATATCAAATACCAACTTAATTATTAAAGATAATAAACTTAATTATGCCTATTTTCAACTAATAAATACTATCTTAAATAATTATAATGATACTACTATATCTGAATTATACTATAACAATATTTAACTTAATATCTATTACAACAAATTCTTATTATATAATTACCTCCTATTGCTTTCTTATCCACAAACTATTATTTTTTTTTATGATATATTTATAACTTCAACTACTTATTAGATAACTCTTGTGCTTTTATTAACTATCTTTATTAAAAATAACTATAGTAAAGCTTATGCTTACCTCTATTTGAATTTAAATCTTTATCTAATTACTTCATCTTACTAGTTCAAGCCATCTGGCATTATTTAAACATTTAACTAAAATTAAATACATTAACATTAATCTTTTCTATACTAGTACTTCTAGATAACTTTTTTTTTATTTTTTACATCTGATCTCAATAATAAAACTAATAACACCTTAAGTTTTACAAATTTGTGAAAAAATAACAGAAATATTTAGATAAAATTTTTTACATATTAGATATTCAATTAAGTAATTGGCTAAATAATTTATTAGCTATAACCAAATACTACTCAAAATGAAGTTATGAGTAGCCCTTTTGTTACAAGACCTGTAACAATAATTTTGATCTGCAAAAGCAATGATCTACATTACTAATGGCAGAGGTTAACCATGTGATAGAGAGTGATGATTAGTAAAAAGGAAAAATAATATTTATAATAGAGGTATTTTAAGTTATGTTTTGCTTTTTTGCTTTGCTATTACTTAACTCAAGAGGTCTGGCTTTATTGAATATGTGTAATAATAAACTACATAAATTAAAAAGATACTATTGCATATAAGTATGAGTTTTATCAAAGACTATGTAAAAGAATGCTTTAGTTTGTTAGTTTAGGAGGTTTAAGATGAGTTTGTCTCAACAGATACAGGTTTTAGAGATAGTTTGAATAGACTGACTCTAGATATATTGAGGATACTTTGTAATGCAAAAGAGTTGTTAGGTTTTGGGTCAAAGAAGGATCTTGTAAAAAGGTTCACATTAAGGATGTCAAGTAAGATTAAAAAGAAAGTTGAGAAGATTAATAACACATTGCTAATAAATGAAGAACAGAAGATCCAGGCAAATGAAAGTCTAAGAAGAGAGAGTGATAGGAGAGACACTAGTCATATACATAGGCAGAACAAATATTTAAATATATAAACAAATAGAATTATACAGGAAGATATTCCAGAAAATGAAACAGATGTAAAGAAATGTGTAGAAGAAAAAAGATTTATGATACTGGAAAGGTTGTTGAAAAAGTTACTACAAGCTATATTGTTAAAAACAGTAGAAGAAATGAAGCCAAGTTTGTTAGTAATAGGAAACTAAGATAAGGATCATTGTTAGTCAGAAATAAAGATAGAAAGACTAAGAGATTAGTTTGACTATAATAAATAAAGGAAGATAGGAAAGGAGTTAGATGAAGCATTGTAGTCAAAGTTCCTAGAGCTGATGATAAAAGCTAATGAAATAGCATATACTTATGCATATGCTTTGGAGTAGCAAATAAGAAAAATTAGAACATAGCATTATAATTGAATAATACTATTACTAATGACTCTATGAAGGCAGCACTAAGAGAAAAGTTAGTGTTAGCAAGACAAGTGATACAAAATAAAAGAAGAAAGATAGATAGTACAGAAGAAGGCACTGTCTATATAAGTTCACAATCACACTGAAATGAAAACTCACAAAAAGAATATACTAGTCATAAGTCATTGGCAAATTAGAACAATATAGCATCTTATAACTCATTAAGACCACAGTGTCAAGGACCAAATTTCTTAGTGCAATAATTATTCTATAGTTAGAGGCTATATTAAATACATAATAGTCAAATACTATGGCAGTATGAGCAGCTACTTTTCCAAGATTAGTCTGTGCCATTAACAATGCAAAACCAATTATAGTTAGAAAATTTTAAAAAGATCAGAAAAAAATCAGAAAGACTAAGTAACATAGTTTGTTATATTTATAAGAAAAAGAGTATATAGCTTTGGTTTGTCCTTACAAGAAGGTAGAAACATCTTTTTGAAAGTTAGAATTGAAGCCAAAGAGTTGGCTACACTTGAGTTAATGCTCAGATAAAGTTGTTAAGAGAGAAGAAAGAGAAGCAAGTAGTTACAAAAAGGATTTATTGGAAAAAATCAGTAGATTATTAGAAATGAGTTGTTAGGCCAGCAGCATTGATATTAAGTTAATTGGAAGAAGGAATGCTACTGTTTCTGAAGAGAATAAAGACATTGGCAAGAGGCAAGGTTTCAAGACAAATTAGTTTTTCAAGAAAGAAAAGAATTTAGTTAGAGAAAGAATTAGACAGATTATGTACATTAAAAACAGTTCAGCTGACTCATCAAGAGAAAAAAAAACTAAATTTTTTACTTAAAGTAAGCTCAATTTTTCTTATTCCAAAAAGAAGTGCAAAGAAGTTCAGATTAGTAGTGGATTTAAAACAGTTGAACAGAATACTACCTTTTAAAACAGTACATTTTGAAGACTTACATGGGTTTTTAAGATTGATAAAGTGGGATATATAAGTAATTATCTTCAATCTGAGGGATGGGTATTACTATATAAGCATGAACAATTAGACATAGTGTTTTTTTGAGATTTTAGCACAAAGAAAGATGGTATTGTTATACAGTTCTTCCTTTTGGCCTCTTATAGGCAAACTGGATCTTCTTGAAGATCATGAAGACTTTTGTAAAATCTTAGAGAGCAAGAGGAATATCTTGTAAAAACTATCTAGATGATATTTGAATAGCTTATTTGAAAGAGAAATGTTGTTGAAGCTTAAGACATTGTTGTAGAAATAGATTAAAGAGTTGTGATTAGGTAAGAGCAGTCAAAAAAGGAAAATAAGAGCCAGTTTAGATAGTAAAGTATTTGGGGCTAAAAATAAATACAGTTCTAGCTCAGATGCAGGTACCAAAAGAGAAGTTGAAATTAGTAAAAAAGAAGTTAATATTACTAAGACAGTTAAGCAATTTATAGTAAGTATAAGAAAACTGACCTTTGTAGCAGAAAAAATCTAAAGCTTAGCTTAAGCATTTTTTTCAGTAAAAGTAAAGTACTTAGAATTTTATCAGCTAATAGATGCCAAAAATTGAGACTGCTAAAATTGGAACAAGGTGGTTATGCTATCAGATCAAACAAAGAAGGACATAAACTAGTTATATAAAAATGTAGAGCACTAAAATAGAAAGTCAGTATAGAAACCATCTTTAGTAAAACCAATCTATATAGATGCATCAATAACAGAATAGTGTAAAGTATATATGAAAAACAGAGCAGCAGGAAGCTGAAATCATATGGCTCATTAATAGAGATTGCATAGTTTGAAAGTTTAATGATTTGAGAACATTTCAATCTTTTGTAAAATTAATAAAGAATTTGTAAATAATATTATTTGTTAACAACAGGGTAGCTTTAAAAACAGCAACTCAAGAAGAAGTCAATTTTGGTAAAAGAAGATAGCATAACAATTGTAGGAGTTTTGAGCAGAAAATGATATTTGGATTTATAAGATTCATTAGTTGCCAAGTGCAGAAAATCTGGCAGATTATCTAATTAGAAATATGAATGAAAATAATTGAAAGCTGAGTGATGAAGTATTTGTATAACTGAAAAGTTTATAGAAAAAAGTGTTAATAGACAGGTTTGCAGATCACCAAAATGCAAAGAAAAGTTGCTTCAACAGCTTTTACTTCTGTCCAGAGACAGTTGCAATAGATGCTTTTATCCAGAATTGGAAAAAAGAAATAAATTATGTTTGTTCACCTTTAAATTTAATTCATCTGATTTTAGTGCATATATAGAAGTGCAAAGAAACACTAGTGATAATAGTACCAGCATAGGAGACAGCTCTGTAGTAGCCTCTGTTTCTATTAGCTCCAAAAGAATATGTACAGCTGCTAGTACAAGTAAGACTTTTTTGCCAGATCCATCAGGTCTAATAGAACTATGCAGAAACCCAAACTGGAGTTTTTTTGCAGCAAGGATAGAATGGTCAAAAAGTTATTAAAACATGCTAAAAAAATAGCTAAAAATTTAGTTAGTCCATTTTAATGAAATTAGCTTAGTAGAGGTTATAAGTTTTTTGAATGATTCTATAAGTGAGTAGAAGTAACAGAAGATTAGATTAATAAAGAAAGATTGCTAGCATTTATCAGTTGATTAAATGTATTAAGTTTAGGCTTCCAGATACAAGCTTGTTTAAATACTTTATCTAAGAGATTTAAATATTTAGAAAGAAGAGATTTGACAGAAAGGTTTAGAATCAAAGAGGTTGTTAGGAGTCTTAGGTTATAAAAGCATGAGATTATGAGCCATCATAACCTTGTGATCTTTTTCAACTAGTAGCATTAAAAGTTTATTATGATAAACCACCAAAACATGCAAATGCATTACTTTGATACCAAGAACTAGCACTGGTAGTAATAGGGTTTTGTGCAATAAGAAGGCCTGGAGAGTTGTGTTTGTTAAGATTAAGAGATGTAAAAAAGAAGCAAAGTCTTTTATGGCTGAAAATTAGAAGTCAAAGAATGACCTTTTTGCAAATAAAAGGTTTGTTCTAATAGAAAAGACAAATAGTAGATTTTGTCTAGTTTAGCTATTTAAATGTTAGACCAAATACAAAGAAGAATAAACCTTTATTTTTGTTAAATTTGGGTAGACAGATAACAGTAGCAGCAATTTTGTCTGTGATAAAATGAATGTTTAAGAATGCTGGTTTGCAGAGTTATTTTACAACACACAGTTTAAGAATTGAAGTGTCACAGTGACAATAAAGAGTAGTATGAATTTGACTCAGATTAAAGCAATTGATAGCTAGAAGTCAAAGGCAGTACTTTTGTATTTAAGAACAGTAACTATAACAGAGATTTAGGCATCTAGGTTAATGGGTTTTTAGTACAATGTCTAGTTGTAAATAAAATTATATATGTGCAATGCAAATCCTATAAAGCTTCATAAGTTTGCTGAGTGATCTGTATTTATATTTTGATGTTTTGAACATCTCATAGTTTGTATAATTGTATTGAGTCCAACTATAATCTATGCAGAAGAGTAACAAATAAAGGCTACTTAAGATGAAGTCATGAGTAGCCCTTTTGTTACAAGACCTGTAACAATAATTTTAATCTGCAGGAGCAGCGATATGCATCACTAATGGCAGAAGGTAACTATATAATAGGAGTAATGATTAGTAAGAAGAAAAAAATAGTATTTATAGTAGAGGTATTTTAGGTCATGTTTTTGCTTTTTTTGCTTTGCTGTTGCTTAACTTAAGGGGTCTATCATTTACTCTTTTGCCTTCTTCTTTAGGTTTAGGTAAAAAGCCAAACAATATTTTGAGTTTGGATAGCAAAGATTGAGAAATGCAGCTTGGCCTTTCAGATTAAATGCAGATTTTCTAGCAGCTTGGCCTTACAGTTCAAATGCAGTTGGTAGCAGTTTGGTCTTATAGGCTAAATGTTATATAAGGAAATGAGTAAACATAAAGGCTGCAGTATTAGATACTAATTCAATTACTAAATTTAGACACACTCAATGCTAGACAAGAGCTGTGAAGCACATGATGGCAAAGCACTTATTTGTGATTTTATAGTCATATTGAGTCCAATTATAATTCATGCAGAAGAGTGACAAATGATTATTTAAGCATATGACCAATTTTGATCAATTAGCTATAAGTGACTAACCAAAAATAACTGACCAATGATTACTCATGACTGACCAAATCAATCTCTACTTTAAAGGTATAATTTCTAAAATAACATTTATATGAGTTTGCATATTAAGATATAGTTAGGTCTTTCTAAATGCACACCCCTAGGACCATAGTAAAAAATATTAAAAATATGCATTTTAAAAAAGCAAAATCTATAATTGTTATATTACTTGGAACTATACAGAGATGTGCATTTATAAAAAGTGTATTTAGAGAGGTTAAACTGTATATTGGTTCTCATATAAAGTTTATATCAGTCTAGTAAATTTTTATATTTAGTATTTTCAAATAAGTAAATGATCATTATGTTAGAATGTTCTAAAAATTTTCGATTATATGCAATTGATCCAATTATTGATTATTCTATAAGTACTAAAAACTTTAACTTGTTACACTTTACCATTAGTTCTGTAGTTTTACAAGATATAAAATATATATGTTTTAAATTCCTTGATAAAAATTAAATACTGATAATAAAATATTTATTATTATTTTTATTTTTAAGATACTACAGTCTATTAAATATGCACATTATACTGAAATCAAATAGGTATAAAGTAATATTAGGTTAGATTAGACTGTAATAGTAGTCTGAAGAAGCTTTATGTCTAAATTTGTTATTAAAAGCAATAGTTTTAGCACCTAATTAAACAGAGCTTCAAGATATTAAAATAGCCAATCTTACAATATCAATTGAAATTTGAGCTAGTAATATGATCTAGTTGAACCTTTTCTATTTATTGTTTTGTGATATATGAAAGAATGTTGGCATTAAAATAAAGCAATATTTTTAAAACAAATTTAGATTGTCTGGTGCAACTTTATAATGCTATACAAAAATTAGAAAATTGTATATAAGTTAGTTCATACCTTTATAAGCATTCAGGAATAATTATTAAAATTGATTGAACATCAATATTTGAATTTAAAAATTTTTCTCAAATACTCATAATGATATAGACTGACCTATGTAGTATAGCAAGTTCTTTCTTTGTTGCTATTAAAAAAACTTTTATTAAAGATACAGTTAGAGTTTAAAGTTAAATTTTGTTTTTGAATTTGAATTTATTTTAATTAGTAATATTTTATTTTGAATTTATTCAATTTTTAAGTTGAAATCTGAATTTATTCTAATTATTACTTATTTGTTAAATTCAAAAAATAAAAGTATTGGGTATGTATTATATATACACTTATTAACAAGACATTTAATCACTTAAGAACAAATACTATTTTATTGTTATAGAAATTCTATAGTAGTAAAATACTTTTGTTTCTTATATGTTTGTACAGACAATGTAAATTTAATATAGTTATTTATTTATTTGAATAATTTAGTTAACTTATTTAATTTTCTGATTCTAATTCATCAAGTTCATCTTGATTATTTTGCAGGTCTCTAATACTTTGTAAGTTCTCTTGCAATTAATTATAATTTTCTGCTATAAGTCATGATACTTAGAGTAATTTGAAATGTTAATAGAAAGTAGCAATAAATTTATAGTTGTTAAAAGTTTTTCTTTTGATATACTTCTTTTATTTGTGACTGTCTCTTTTTCTTATATATTAACAGATATTGGCCATAGTAAAGAGCTTGTTTTTTATTTATAAAAGTTTTATTAATAAATGTTATTCATCTTTCACATATCAAGTTGCTAAAATTTTTTTAATTGTTCAATAAGTAAATGCTCTTCTTTGAGGCTCTCAAATATGTGATTACTTTGAGGATTTAAAAATCTGGTTTTTCTTAACTAAATTCTAAATTGCAATAATTTTGAAATATAATCAAGATGTATCTGATCTCTTGAAGATTCACTTTCCATATACCTGATCATGTCAAATAATATATGATTGAGCTAATATATTATTTATTATACATTTATAAGTTTATTTGTATAATATTTTCATTTTTAATATTTTTTAAAAATAATTTACTAATTTTTATGAAATTTGTACAATTCTGAGCTGCTATATTCCAATATTGCTATGTGAATATGAGTGGAATTAAGGCCTTTAAATATTTATTAATTTCTTCAAGAATAGTATCAAGGCCTTAATATTAATTACAATAGTCTAATTGTGAATTAACAGATATAATTCTACTATCTTTCTGATTTTAGAATGTAATCATAATAATTGTTTCTCATAATCAATCTCAATATAATAATATATAAAATGTCTATAATCTAACCAAATTAGAGCAAATATATGCCTTGCAGCATTTCTTAATAATAGTCTGTTATTTCTAACTTTTATATAAAAGTTAACTATCACCTAAAGATAAACAAATGTTTACAAAAGTATTTAATAATTTTTTAAATTATTTTTATAATTTGAAATTTTAAATTATTTTGATATTTGAATTAAAGTATTACCTGCTTATATTTTAATTTATAAATACTATTATTTTGTTTTTTTACCTAATCTAAATAAACATTGACTGTAAAGTTTGTAATTTCAATCACATATGGCTATAACAATTCATATGCCATAGCATGATTGTAAATATTGCAAATAGAATTTCATAATTTATGATGGTTTATACATTTTTTGAAAAACTTAAGTTGATTTTCTGTTCTATATCTTTGACAAATAGCAAATTGTTTGATATCAATAAGTTTAAATAAAAATATTTAAATTAAATAATGTAAAAAAAAAAATCTAATTTACCAATTTAATTCTACAAATGCTTTAAGCATGTTCATTTTCTTATATAAAGCTTCAGGAATTAGAACTAAATAGGAAAAATCAGGTTTGATTTTTTGAGCAAGATTATAAGAAATTTATTGCAAACAACTAGTAACTTTTTTATTCATCTTTGTTTATGTTTGTGATGTTTTGTATATGTTCTAAATTTTTTTTAATATTATTTATTAAATTAGGATTTAGTCCTAATAGGTCTGGAAAATATACATTTCTGGAACAACAACATTTTGATTAGATTTAATTTTTTGTATAATACTAATATATTCAAAAAGTAAAATATTTTGCTTATGAATAAGAGGATTCAATTTTATTATAATAGGTTTTAATTAGAAAGTTGTATTACTAGCTTAAATGAACTTATTATTTGATTCTGGTTGTAATATAACTAATATATATAATTTTTCATTACCTTTAGAGCAAATATATTTTCTATTATCAATATTGATTATATTGCACTTCTTGCATTATTTTTGATTGATCAGCAACACCTTTTTGATTTTTTATTATTTGGTCAATTAAATTTTATTTATTTTTTTTTCTATTAATAAGTTTATTTAAAATTAATAACAAATATGTATTTAATTCTGATTCACATTTTGCTTTCATTTCTGATATAGAATAATATAGCTCTTTATATTAAAAGTCATTTAATGAATCATAATACTAGAAATTTATTAAAAATTAAATTTGATTTTTTTTATCTACATTAAGTGCAATAAAACTTGTAACTATATAATAAATTATAGTATTAAACCCTCAATCAAGATAATTGTATTGGCCCTGTTGTTCATTATTAAAAACTAAAAATAAAAGCCTATTAGATATAGGCACTTGTTCAATTGTGAGAAACTCTAACTAATTAATAAATTTTATATAACTTCTAGAACTAATAATATGATTGTCAATATTAACAATTATTTTGAACTGTGTTACTGAGTATTTAATTACTAATAAGATTAAATTTATTTCAGATACATAATTTTTATATTTTGACCTATAAATTACATCAATCACAACTACTTTTTTAAAGAGCTTTTCTTTTAAAGTAGCATTATTATCACTGCTTTTATTATTACAGATCAGAGCTTAATAAAGTTAACAATAATAGGATTATAATTAGTTAACCAATAATTCAACAAAAAATTTAATAAATTATTAAGAAAAATCTAATTTTTATTTAAAATTAATGAATTAATATCATTATAAATGTTTTGGTATTCTTTATTTACAATTTGAACAATTGAATTAATTCTTTTTTCTTGATTACTAAATTGATTTTCTTATTTAAACAATAAATCATTATTTTGTTTAAACAACTCTTGATTTATTTTATTTATCTTTTGATTGTATTCCTAAGTTTTAACTATATAATTATACACATAATTTAATTGTTTTTAAAAATCTTCTATTTCACTTATTTTTCTATTTAATTGTTCTTGAAGTAAATATATATAATTTTCAAGATTTTGAATTATAGATTTATATGTTTGTATACCAATCTCACAAAATTGCTTTTCAACCTATACATCAACTTTACAGAATTGTCTTTTAATCTAAACACCAACTTCATAGAATTACTTTTCAATCTGTATAATTTTACAAGTTTGTTTTTGATAAATTCAATTTCAGAATTATGACTTTCAATCTGTCATTTTTGATTATATCACTAACTATTCAAATTTGAAAGATGATGATAAAAATAATTAGAAACTATAAGCTAATTATAGTGCTATTCATATATTGAATACTTTTCTAAACATTTCTAAATTTCAACCAACTTAGGAAAAAAAAATTATATGCTGAGAACAGATTTTTTGATGTTGCAGAATCAACATGCTATGTAGATACCTTAATTGAATATTCTTTCAATTAAACATGATTATACAAACTAACCAATCTAGAAAAAACACAAGATAGGTTTGTTGCTAGTTCTTGTTCTGCTGATTCTTATGTTGCTAATTCTTGTACTACTAGTTTTTGCATTGCTGGTTTTTGTGTTGTTAGTTTTTATGATTGCTCATAAGATTCTA